CTTCTCGGTCAATTCTGATCGAACTTTCGATGAACGTCCGGACTTCTAACGAACTCTTGAACTCCCAATGAAATTACATTCTTGACTTTGGGACTTCATTTTGCTTTATGCCTTGCTTACGTGGTTAATCCTGCACACAGAAAACCCACTTCGATCTAGACAATTATTATAAAGCTTTGAATCATCTTGTTTGATATGTCATTGGGTCATCGACGCTTCGTCCGATTCTTCGGCGCATCGTCCTCTCTTGCGGCCTATTGTCCAATCGGCCAGTTAACCTCTGCAACTCTGATTTCCTTGACGTAATTTCTACTCTTCTTGGCCTGATGCCCGAATCCATGGCTCGAAGCCTTTTGTCGATACGTTGATCGATCCTCCGGCTTGACGTCCAATCTTCTGACATGTTCCACCGGCCCAACATGATTCTCCTACTTTAATTGTCTCTCCTTGATCGAAGCACCCTGCATCACTCAAAACACAGATTAAATCATAAACACTTATCAATTGGTTTCATCATCAAAATCTAAGATTCAACAATGATGACAATCATGCATGGAATGATGTAAATTTTGATTATGCATGATTTTATGATGACATGTTGCTTGGATTTATGATTAAAATTGCTTTGACTTGAACTTTACTTGAATTCAAGGATCTATCAATATGACATATTGATAGGGGGAGTTTAGTTAAACTCCATCATCAATTGGTTGTCATCATCAAAAAGGGGGAGATTGTTGAATCTCGGATTTTGATGATCAAACCAATTGATAATATTATGATCTAATCTACGTTTTGAGTTATTGAGGACTAGCTTCGATCAGGAGAGGCAAATTGATTAAAGCAGGAGGAATCGAATATTGGGCTGAAGTTGAACATGTCAGAAGATTGGACGCCGAGCTAGAGGATTGATCGACGTGTCGGGAGAAGGCTTCATGCCGTGAATTCGGGCATCGGGTCGAAGGATCGGACATTGCGCCAAGGAGATCAAAAGTTGCGGGTGTCAACATGCCGATTAGGTAATACGCCGAAGGAGATGATGATGCGCTGAAGGATCGGACGAAGCGTCGGAAGAACCAATGACATGTCGGACAACACATGATTCATGCTTTGTAATAATTTATCTAGATCGAGTTAGTTTAGGTCATAATTAGGTTGATTTAGAATGTAATTAAGCCAACTAGACTCAAATTTGGGCTATTTTAGGCAAAGAGAAAGACCCATTCAATGACCTAAAAGTTGGATCAGGTGGTGGCACCATCGATCCAAGCGGTGGCACCACCAGTGGCTTAGTCTTCGAGACACAATCTCCAAGACTATGTAAGGCGGTAGTATCGCCAGATTGGATTGTGGTACCGCCCAATGTCAAGCGGTGGTACCGTTAGTCTGCGCAGTGGTACCACCTAAACATAGTCTCCCAGACTGTGTCAAGCGATGGTACCGCTAGACTAGGCGGTGGTATCGCCCAGCACAGGCGGTGGTACCACCAAAACTTGGGAAACTTAGGACGAGACATTTTTTAGCTCTAATTTTGAAGTTATTTTGGGTTTATAAATACCCTAGCTATTCTTGCATGAAAAAGCAAGAATTGAGCATAAAATTGAGTTAAAAAAGGGGGAAAGAATACTTGAAAAAAATTAAAAAAACTATCTTAGGATTTAGGATCACTTCTTCATAATATTTAGAAGTTTGTCTAAGGGGTTTGTAAGGGTCGTTTCCTAAACTCATAAAAAGGAGAAAGAGTGTAAAAGGGTAGTTGATCTTCGCCCATTGAAGAAAGATCGTTAGTAGATGTCGGTGGCCTTAACGGAAGAGGAATCGGGAGTGGATATAGGTCGAGACGATCGAACCACTATAAAAATATGATTTACATTTACTTTAAGATTTTTATTTTAATTACAAACTAAATTCTTACTTTTATTACCCTTCCGTATGTTTTCAAGTTAAGCATCTTTACGATATCGATTTTCATAGTACGAAGTTTTTTGAAATTGATTAAATTTATCATTTTTATCCGTTGCACTAATTCACGCATGTGCCGACTCGATCCTAACAACTCTAAGTCAAGCACACTTTCGATATCGATTTTCATGGAATGAAGTTTTTGAAATCGGTGTAACTTTTCGAAAGCACTAATTTACACTCCCTCTTAGTGTCGTTACGATCGTAACAAAACAGATTATATAGATCTATTAAAACTTCTAAGACATTCTTTGACGGCTAAAAAAATCTTTTGAAAAATGATTCTCCGATGTTATCCCTATTAAATTTTGGCATATTACATATGTGTACTTTAGAAAACTTCATAATTTTAAAACAATCGTTTCCACTATAGGCTACTATAATCGAATCATAATAAAAAACTATATAGCAGACTTTTACCTTATATCTTGTACTAGCAACATGTTTGATTTCAAAGTTTCTATGAATAACATGCTCTTTCAATTATTTTTGAAATTTATCTTTGTCTCGAAGTACTCGTAGAAAGTTAAAATTAGGTTATATAATATTATATAAAATAATATCAATAATAACACATATATATTACATATACTTGATCAATTAAAAGATCATTAGAGATAAATTCATCGTCTTCAGAATATAACATTTAATAACAAACTATCATCTTGGCTAGCACTATATTAAG